TTAAGTCAGGAATTCTCTGATCCCATTACAGATATTTCCCAACCACAGAACATTTAGAAACCAAGCCTTGCACATAGCTTTTTTTTTTTTTTTTTTTTTTTTTTTTTTTTTTTTTGCATCCTTTAGTCCCGTGGAAGACAGTGAAAAGCTCTCGGTGAATTCAGGAGATGTTAAAAAAACTTTGTATCTTTCTATTATCAGCTACAATTCTAGAAGAGAAAAAAAATCTCAGACCCCTAGGGCTCAGTTTACTTAAGCAAATAGTCTGTATGCACACTTTTTAAAGTAGACTTTCAAAAATATCTCCTTTACTGAGAACACCTGATTATCATTATCACTCTTTTGATGTGCTAGATTTTCCTCTTGAAAACAAGTTTCTTCCTGACAACAGCATTAGCCATCTGATGTTAAACCTTGATCTGTAAACACGTTTGCAACACTTTCCTGGTAAACTGAAAATTTTCTTCCCTGGCTCCCTTGACCTCAGCGATTATTCAACTCCTGCATCTCTCAGCATTCTTTCAATCCATCCTTAGATCTGGTCTGATCAGCTCCTCCACAGCTCCCCACTCCCTTAACTGCTCCACCACTCAGACTCCCCGTGGTGAAATGGTTCTCCACAATAGCACCAATGCTCCTGCAATTACATTTGAAAGGTACAGCCTTTAGGACAACTGCGTCATGTTTCCAGACCTGTGATATCAGCCTCTGAACTTTCCTGTTAACCCGAAGGCAAGTGGAGATCTGATAGTGCTGCAGCAGATGCTTGGGAAAGAAGCTCACAGCCACCCACAGACAGACAATGTATAAATTCTGTATTATGCTCACTACACACCTGAGAGAACACTGTTATATTGTGTAAAAACAGAAACAATCATAAAACATTGCTCCCAACTAAATATTTCAAGATCAACACCCTCTGCAAAGACCAACACCCCTATATTCTGAATAGAAAATAACAAAAATGTAGATCAAAGTATATAAGAGTGAACAGTCTAACACATGAAGTTAAAAATATCAAAGCTATCAAAAATAACAGCTGACAAAGTAATTGGAATGGGAGAAAAAAAATTGCTGAAGCAGATTGCAAGCAAAAAAGAAAGATTAGAAAGGTTAAAGGACAAATGAAAGAGCAAAAATGGAAATAATATATATTTCAGCCACCAGCATTTCACCCTTAGGGGAGGAAGGGTCTTTAGTTTTGTTGCCATGAGGAACTCTATCCATATGTGTCTTATGCCTGCAATAAACTGAAAAACTACAACTTGCTAATGCCTGTGATAGCTTGGCAGAACTCTTCAGCCTATAGGGAGCACTGCTAACTTTCCCCTTACTTGGCAAGAGTCCTACAGGGACCTTTTCTGTTTGAGAGACAGCTCTCCTATCCTAAACACCAATTTACTTTCCTGGATCAAAGCATATCTGCAACTGGGATTGTGGCAAAGAATGCTCTTAATTCAAATTAACCTAAACCTGTCATACAACTTGAAACAACATTAGGATGCCCATAAAAGTTTGATTCATATGCTTATACTCATCAGTTAGCAGGTAGGAAATTAGAATACAATTATTAACTTTCTGGTTATCACACTGTACAGAATTTACCTGTAATTAAATATTAGACCAATTTCTTAGTTTTCATAGTCAAAAAAATTAAATAATATTTCTTTTCACTCAAACCTAAGGCAAATATTACACAATACAAAAGAAATAGACTCTGATTACATTAAATCCCAGGACAGTCCTGGGGATAGTTTAATCACTGGCTCTGATTCTTCTTCATTTTAATAGTTTGAGAATTGAGCAATGAGCACTGTGGCCACAAAGTGGGCATAAGCTGCTTTAAAAAAAAAAGTTCATTGCTTCACAACCCAAATGAAGTAAAGATCATATCATAATTTTATGATTTAGGACAGAATTAAAGTTGGTTTTAATTTACATAAAACATTTGAAAATAGATATGTATTTTTTTTTCTTTGCGAACTTAAGAAAATCATTCTAGATTGGAAGGCAAATGAATTGGGTTTTGGCAGGGATCTATTATTCAAACAGAGCAAAAAACAGTTGAATTTACATCCAGAATTCAGCTTTATGTTACAATTTGTATCCTTAACACGTCAAATTTTTTAATGAAGAAAATAGTAAAGCCTATTTTAAATGACCTAAAAACATCTGCTGGAATTTAGATAACTGATGATAATTCCAAGAGACAAATAGAGATGGATGAAGTTGAAGTTGATATTTATTTAAGAAGAAACTTTTTGTGAATAAAAAAAGAAATGTTCTGATTTGAAAGATCTTTTGTTACTACAGATTTTACTACCCTGCTTCAAATGAAACATTTTGTAGTGATTCTTCAAATGAAGACAAAAGGAAAACTTCAGGTACATTAAACATGCCATATGTTACCGTGTTTCATGTACCATGAAAATGCCCCAGACAATGTGTATTTTTAAATGGAATCCAGATTGTTTTGATGACTTAAAGTGGAAAATAAGCCGAATATATGAGGATAAAGACATTTGCATTATGATTTGCACTTTGTTACTTTAGCTACACACATCTGTCTCAAAGCTTCATCTCTGCATAACTAGAATAAGTTATATGTCCACAGTACAATTTGAAGACAGTGAATCAACTAATGCTTAACTTCAGCTAAAAAGCTGAACAGCCTGACAGTCAAAGCAGGCAAGCCAAGCTCTACTGACCCTGGCAAAAACATGTAATTCTGTAACAAACTGGTATCTACTTTTTCAGTACTGCTGCAATAGCTTTCTTAGTGCATTGCATTCAAAAAACCCTTAATGTGAGGCAGAATATTAAACTCCCATTTTATGGTCCAAAACTGAGATATAGTAAAATACAGAAGTTGCTCAAGGATGTGAAGGACCTGATTATATCTGTTGTGAGAGATGCTTGAGGTGACCCTGTGGCTCGAGTTGTCAGCTGTAATTCTGGGCTTTGCAGAATGGCTTTCATTTGTACTGCAAATTTCTTATACAAGTCAAATATATTCTACTGTATATTTGTTCACAGACAAAAATAATTGATAATGTATCCTGGTTCCCTGAATACTATACAAAATAACAGGAGGCCCAGGAGTCAGACTTGATAATCCTTGCGGGTCCCTTCCTACTCAGCATAATCTGTGATTCGGTTTGTTTGGTTTTCCTCAGAGTTTGTGCCCATACAAACTCTAACACAGACACCAGATAACACAACCAAGCACTAATTATTGCACCTGTAGTAACCTGTTTAGATTCCACCACTGCAGAAGAGTTACAAGGCAGCTGAGTTGTTCACAATTTACAATTGTAACAATTAATCTGACCAGAGCTGCAAAAGCCAAAACAACTCATGAAGCAAATAGGTACTAAAACAGAACTCACTCAAGAGTCCCTGCAAAGAAAACTACTGAGCTTTAGGCTGGGAATGTAACTTTATTGTCTTTGTCAGCTCTTTGGGTGAGAGAAGGAAAAATTAGGTACTTTGCTCACTTTTGTAAGTCATTGCATTCAGTTTCTCAAGATATGAAGAGCCTGACCTGAGAAATTAAAGAATGATCATGAATGTCTCAATTCTTTCAGTAATTAACAAACTAATCCAAAGGCTAGCAAAATTAGTAGAAAGACTGCACATGCATTGGCTCAAGCCCAGATATCTCCTTAACTTTAAGCATAAATTATGTTTGTAACTTCTCACATGAATTTATATGGATGCAACCTTCCCACACACAGGGAAAACATTTATCATTGGATCATACAGAAAAATCCTGGTTGGAAGCACTTCTGGCAAATGTCCACAAATGAAATTTTAATTAGTTTGTCTCTCAGAAAGCAACCACACCAAATGTCCTCCCTAAGGAAACAAACAACACTGTCTGCATCACTGTTCATAAGAAATTAAAGTATTTAGAAATTACAAGCTATACATGACTGACTTCAGTGTCTTGGACCAATTAAGCCAATGAAAATAGCAGTTTGTTGATGTCTTTTAACACATAAGGATTTGTGTATTATAAACAGAAACCTGAAATATATGAAACACTATTCTGAAAACTTATTCAGAAATCTTCCTTGCCTTACTCACTTCAGAGCGCCCACACATCTTCATATTAGCCTTAGAGAATCATGAATCAGATGAGGGTCAGCTTAGCACTTTGAACAAAGCAATAGACTCATTAAAAGCAGCAATGAAAAAAAAAAAAAAGATATTTAACTTTTAAATTTTGCTGGTCCCTCAATTATGTCAGCTATTAAACCAGAACTCTTTTTTTTCATGTCTAAGAATACTGAATATAAAGATCACTGCTAGTACCTATGAAAATAAGACATCTTAGCTGTGAATTTTATATCAAAGGTTCAGCTGCATTGCGAATGCTATACGAAGCAAAAGTCTCAGAGATGTTAGCAACTCCAGCATATAAGACAGCAAATTTTGGATCTGCACCTGTCCCATTTCAGGAAAACTGCCTAAAATTATACACTCTCAATTATTTTTGAGGAAAAAAAAATTAATAATTTTTGTTTGCAAAAAAAAGCAAGAAATAGAAAATGCTCCCCCATTTTATAAAGTAAAGTAAACAAATGATTAAAAAGATATGAGTTCAACTAGTTCTTGCAAATCAGATAAATCAAAACTTGAATGTCACTCATCCACATACCATATCACTGTGCCACCATTTGCCACTTAATTTTAGAGTACTTCTCACCCTGTCTTGGTCCCACTACTCTCGCTTGACTTGCTTTGCAGCAAATATATATTGGCCAAAATAGCCCTGAAAAAAGCTTTGGTGATATGAGTCCCAAATTAGTCTAGTTAATTAGTAAAAAGAAAATCATATACTAATAGTAGGAAAGATGCAAAAGTCTTGTTTTAACAGGCACTCGGTTTCACTATGTCAGTAGGCTTTGCTTTCCGGGAAAGAATCTGGCAAGATGAATTTCCCGAGCAGATGCTCACAGCTTTGTTATACACAAAATGAGAGATCAGGGAATTACCATGGAACCACTGAGCAATCCTGTTGGTGTTCCTCTCAAAGCCAGCCCGCCGAGGGATCTGCTCCTCCTTGAACCAGCGAATGATGACGTCTCGGGAGAAGGGCCGAGAAGGGCGCTCCCAGATGCTGCTGCAAGCAAAGACAGAGCACCAGCAGTGTATGAAAACAGGGGACTGCATAAATAATAGTCTCTTTTTACATATTTACAAAACACAGCTGCAAAATGGTGAGCATAACTTCTGCTCAGTATAACTCACTGAACAACTTTAACGTTTTAAAAATTTTTAAATTTACTTTCTGCTTTTTTGGAAGTCACAGTATCATGATTTTTATATTTGTAATGTCACCTTAAACATTTTCCTACATAACTTAAATTGAAAAACAAATTTACCACAATGGACATTTCAGTCAACTTCCCTTTTCCACCTCATTTTTTATTCCAATGTAAATATTGACAAGCAATTCTTTTTTCTTGAGTATATTCCTTTTTACTGGCAAAATACTCTAAATCAGTATCAGCTATAATACACTGTGTCTGCAAACAGGAGCCACTAAGCAGAATAGATGGAATGTTTAGTTTAAACTTTTATGTTTCCTCTGCATTCTCTACTTGACAGACTATATTACTCTTTCTACTACTTTCTATGTGTTTTAGTTAGTAGGAATCATCCTCCAGTTTGAATTCTTCTCCTCTCTTGTGATTAATTGTGCTCCCTAAATAGTCAAAGTAAAGATTAATAAACACCAAAGATACTTGGCTTTGCCTGAAAAAACAAAAAAAGCCTCTGAAGCTTAGGACTGCTCTCTGTAAAAAAAAAAAAAAAAAAAAAAAAAAAAAAAAAAAAAAAGCAGCTGTTAAGCAGCAGGCAGTTTTAGGCTTGAGGCTTAAGACTTGCCTAAGAATCTGTCCATTTGACTTCAGCCTCGCATACTGATTTCATACTGTCTTCTCGAGGAGTCATCTCTGTGTGAATTCTAAGAAATCAGCCTGAAGGTAAATGACATTTAGTTGGCATTAAATGTGTTTTTCTTTTCCTTTAAACGTTCTTTTTTCTGATCATCAGGAAATAGCAAGACTGAGGACTCCCAAAACCTGCAGAATAGCTTGTTGAAATGGTAAGGATTGGAGAAGGAGCAATCCAAGAGAAAACTTTCAAAACCACTCCAGCACAAACCAACCTGGACGTTACAGGAGGCAGCAAAGGACTCGCACTGTTGTTTGGTTTGATCTCCTGGTCATTGCTCAGGTTTGTCCCCTGGAACAGGTGACTCAGGCCAGCCACTCTTCCCTTCTGGATGGCGCGCAGGGACTGCCGGCGGTATTCGTCCCGCGCCCTGCGTGCCTTGTGGCTCCTCTCCTCGTCGGCAGCCTTGGAGCGGCGCACTGGGCCGAATGAACAGGAGGAGAGATTTAGAAATTCAAACAGCCATTTAGCCCTCTGCTTACAAAGCAGCTTAGTGCCCTTATTCCTACATAAACTGATTTTAAAATGTATAAATTGTGACACATTACAGAAGGCAGATAACTGGATGTCTTCCCTGATGCTTCACACACAAGAACACTTCTAGAAGAAGGCCAAAATTATCAATATCTGACCAGTACTGGCAATAACTGAGCCTCTACATACTGTGATTAAATCAGACACTTCTTTTGGCTGTAATAAGAGAAATTCTGCTTGGGGACATCTTTTCCCCTGGAAGTGCACCAAGTTCTATATTTCAAGAAGGGATGTTAATTACTGCTTTAAGTCTGTGCCTAACAGTGTTCTTGGCCACTACAAACATAACTAGAATTGAAGGGTCAATCCCAAAATTTGCCATTACAAAAACTGACATGTAGGTTGCACTTTGTCAATGCTGTTTGCTTTCTGAAAGGCATATGCTATCTTTGTCATGGTACTTATAGTCACAGACATTTCCAGCTTGAAATTTGCAGTCTAAAAATTGTTTTAGTAACAATGGATAAATTAACATCCATTGGAAAGGGCATGTTGATGCTATGGATGGGGCTGCCTCACACTTCAGTCTCTGAAATTGTATATGGACAACCAGAACTTGTACTGGAAGATTAATACACAGGTAACCATGGCATTGACCAGGTAGTTACCCATTTCTGTAACCTGAAATGAGACTGCTGCTCTAGCCACTGTGACTCAGGCATCTTTCACTAAAGCTTCTTCATTTTAAAGTTAATATTCCAACAATTCTGTCTTTGACATGGTATAACTTAAATGCACCAAGAATTCAACTGTAAATATTTGTCATCTATCAGCTCTTTTCTGGTGCCTCAAGCCCCATTTGGATGATGTTTCTGAGTCACAAATAACTGCAGGCAGGCAAATTATTCCAGTGCAAAACAAACCTTTAACACGCAGTGAAGCAAATATTAAAGAAGCCAGCTATGGCCTCCAGTAGCAATTACCAATCCTACCATGACTATCCTGGCTTAGATCATACGCAGTTCATAAAGTGAACACTCCATTTCCTGCTCCCCCATGACTGTACCTGTGACTAGGAATGCATGATATAATACCAGACAGCTGCATTTCATTAGTTTGCTTACACTCCCAATTTAAAGCAAGCAGAAGTATAACTGGATTTAACTCCCAAATTTTAAGACGGTTTAATGGAATCAAGAAATAAAAGCACTCAAAGCCAAATGAAATTAAATAAAACCTTGTGGGCAAATGAGGTAAATGGAAAAGACCTTTCAGCTTGGAATTATATAATATTATCATAAGCAGAAAGATATGCAGGACTAAAAGCTCATCAAGATAGCATAATAAACGAGTCATAGATGTTTCACATGTATACAACTGGCAGGATTTCAGTTTCACTTAACTACATACCCTGCAGTTTGGCTAAACACAGTAACAAACAAATGCACATCAGAGGAAATACAAATAACAGACTTCACTATTTATCTTAGAGATCATTATTTTTAAGGGTAGATAATGTCATTTAGATATAGCACTTCAGTGGCCCAGTATTTCTGTGATTTATCCCCTATAAAGCCACTCAGTAATGGTCACTTTAAAGATGCACTGTGTATTTGCAGCACAAGGAGAGACAGAAAGGAAAAAGAATGTGATGCAACTTTGCAAGACATCTAGAAACCCTTAGCTGTTTGCCACCATCACAATATCCAGATTGAGGGCAGACTGCCTGGAGCTTTCTGGGACTCTTCTACTGATGTATAGGCTGCCTGGCAATGAGATAGGCAAGTCCCTTCATGCCCCTCTTTCTTCTATAATAGGCACTCTTTCCAACAGTCATTCCTGTTGTAGTTTTTCTAGCCAACAAATCTGTACCATCAGAAGTCAGTGATCCAGACTACATTTTCCCAAACTTTAGTGCTTTTTATCACAAACTTATATCAAACTTTATTACCCCTTATCACATATGTATGAGCTGAGGCAGCAGTTTGCAACTGTTAAATATCAATATCCAGAAAACCTTTTGAAAGTATGACCTGCAGCCCTCTCTATGCAGACATATACATGTATGTATGTGTGTTTAAATTTGTATATACGTACCCATACTTGTGTGTATGTGTCTGTGTACACATAAGGATGGGGAAGGCTGCATATAGATATTGAGATTTTATAGACAGAATCATCTCTTTCATGTTATGAAGAATTTTTATTGAAATTTCCCTGTGGAGATATCTGAATTAACTAACCATAGGGATGCATAGGATCTCTTAATACATTTTTCTCATTACTGGACTCCCTATCCCCCATCCTTGTAGTTACTCCCAAAAACATCATCCTCTTTCCTCTGCCTTTAGAAGTTGTCTAGTACAGCTTCAACCATGGACCTGTGCTCCTAAGTTATCCTAAGTTTCTTTTAATCTCTGATTGGTCAAGGGGCTTTTTGAGAAAATAATCAAAGTCACTAGCATCAATAACCATGTTTGGTGACTAGAAATAGTATTGGGGATAAATCTATCACAGTCAGGAATCTACAGAAAAGTTTTTCACTACACCCCAGACAAAATTATATATATACCACATGAACCATCTTCCCATACTGACACTTCCCACAAATTTATCTATCTTGAGAAAGTCACTTAGAATCTGAAGATAAATCTGGATGTATTTTTGTACAAGTTTTTTCTTACAATAGAATTTCATTACAATTCATATTTTTCTTTATGGCTTTGAACCATCTCACTAGGAGGGAGAACTTTATGTCTGCATCAAGTCTAGCACAAATATTTTAAGATAGAAGAAACCAAAATTCTACATTACTTGTATTTTAAGACATATCAAAACCTTTCTGGTGACAAGAAAGCAAAAGTAGTCAGGACTTCTAGTACTGAGTTAAGGAGAAACAGACACATTTTCTTAGCTGGCTGTCCTTTTACAGTAATTTACTTCTGGCATGACCCCTATGAAAAACACAAGTAGTGTAGTCAGTCAATAGTCTCAGTGGGGAGATTAGATATCTAGAAAAAACCCTAAAAGCACTGAATCACCGTAACACCATATGTCTAGCATAAAGAATTACTACAAATAATAATTTACATACTTTTACATCTTTCTTTTCTATAATGGAATAATGTAAGGACTGACAAGGTGGGGAAATTAGGAATTTGCCATGCCCATGTGAGATCTACAGTTGAGCCAGGTCCTGTAAGACCACCTCCATGACTGGTTTTCTCTTCTTGTGTTGGTGGTACCAACAACAGTTACATCCTCCAGTGCTCATAAAATGAAGACATTTCTGCCCTCCTGGAACTGGAGCTTGTGTAGAAATGCCTGTGCTGCCCAGAGAGGTGTGTACCATTATGATTGCAGCCTCAGCACAGCGGGCCAAAACTGGGTGACCAAGCCCTCCTGGAAAACTGGCAAATGCATCCAAGACTGGTCCATACTGCCATCATTATCTGGTTGTCATTACTAGAAATTAATAGTTCAAACACGCCTCTGTGACATGCAGCATGAACAGCCTCTTAACAGCAAAGAGCAAAGCACAAAGCTGGGTATGCAGGGGCTCTTTGGGTCCTCAAAGGGTTGGCTTGGCTTTGCCTTGTTTTCATGAACAGTTTATGAGAATCTATTCTTTCTCTATGCTAACTTAAGGTGCTTTTTACTTCTATATTTTCTTAGGATTGAGAAGTCCCTATTGCAGTCCAGCAAAGTTCTAGTACCTAAGTTTTGATATAGGTGAGGATTAATTCATGCTGTGCTGCAGCTGTACTTGATAAAATAATTTGTGAAAGACTAAGACCTCTCCATTTTTATGCTCTATTTTCTAAATCAATCTCTTTTTGATTTACAGTCAGATATGTGAAAGCTAAAAAACCCAAACTATGCTATGAATATCCATCATAATTTTTTTTTGTTTAAGCTTTCCCCTTGTTAAAAATTCTTGGAAGCTTGTTTATGAGCTATTCAAAATTACTAATACATAAAATTCAACCTTCAGATTTTCTGAAGTGCACATACAAATCACTCAGTGTTTTTTCCCTTTTCTAAGTGGAAAATATAACTTCCCACAAATACTCTGCAATATGGCTTCAGTTCAGCAATCTTATCTGAACGTACATGAATAATCTCATTTCTATTCAACAATGCACTGTGAGACCTGTTGGAGTTCAGAGGGCACATATATGCAAGGTTGAGCACTTGCTTAGTTAATGCATAGCTAAACTGGGGACCACTCACTTTCAAATTCAGCATTTTATCAATTCTCCCGCCAGTAAACACATTTGAGTTGTTGGGGAACATAAATACGCAATGAATTCCTTTAAAAGTTAGGCAAAAATAAATTCATAGACACATCGGTAGAAGAACATAAAAATACAAAAATATAAAAGAAGCTATAATGAGTCAGCCTGGTATCCTTCTTCCAAGAGAGACCAAAAGTAGGTGCTTGGGGAAAAGCAAAAGAATAGATCAACTCACTCTTCTTTGTCTTCATTTTTACTGGAAATTTTTTTTTCTGGAGATGAATAAAGCTGGTCAGATGCTATCTGAGCACTTCCCTGCCTGATGCAGTTTGCAGGGCTTTGTAAGCATATTAACAGAATGCCTTTTAAAATATTCAATCAGATGAATATTTGTGCTACAGCTTTTTCTATCATGTTTCACAGATTCTTTTTTTGCTTTCTCAAAGAGACATCATAAATAAACTAGAAATCTAAAAATGGGACAGCACACAGAAATGTCCAAAACTAATGAGAATATATACCCTCTGCTATCCAAGTTTCGTTTTGTTTTTCAGTTTCAAAAATCAGCATTTTGAACAGTAGACTCTCTGAATAAGTCTTCCACTATTCATCTTTTCACTTGCCAACCAATATCCCTGCTCAACTTACTAACATACAACTGCCCTCTAAAATACCCCAATACATATCTTTTATATGAAATCAGTGTGTAATTTCTTTTACAACATCACTTTTCCCTTTTAGCACCGATTTCCCAAGTTATTCTACATTTGTTATTTAGTACATTAAAAGCCCTAAAATCAAGTATTTCAGTTAATACAGTAGTTCTATGGACCATTATTGTTCTTTGGCAAACAGCAGAAGCAAACTGAACTGAACAACAAACTAATATTAGCACCACTTTGCTTATTGCCTTGGCAGTATACAGCTGAGGGATAATGTGATGAGCAGAGATGAATCCCCATCACATTCTGAATTCCATCTACTAAGCTAAGTAGCAGTGTCATCGATATCATTGCTACATTCCTCTCCCCAGTACCTGCTCTAGCACTACTGCTCCCCTGCAGCACTGAGCCCTGGCTCTGTGAAACAGGGCAGGGCTCACTTCAAGAAGGTTAGACCCAAAGGAGCCTGTCCTTGTTCCTAATAGACAATATGGTCTCTACTGCAGGTTTGTAGTGGCAAAAAATGTAAATATTACATCTTCTTGTAATTCTCTTTATGCATTCATGTATTTACTTACTGCTTAGAAAAGCTGACTCGTAGACAGCTTTGCCTAACTTTACTAAATTTCCTCTCAGTGCCCCACAGGAATACTTGCAGAAAAAATGGAAGGATTGCCATGAAAAGAAAAAAATCTGCAACTGAAATAAAAAATGAAAAATCTGGTGAACCTGAAGTATTAATTCATTTCATAGCAATTTCAGATTTTCCCACTTCCAAATATTTCTTACTGACTATCTGCTGCACATTTTGGCTCCTGCAGTAAAGTTAAGGAAATTGAAGATGTTAATATACCTGAGGAAACTCAGTGCAAAGTTCAATAGCACAGTCTAAACCAGCCAACAACTGAACTCAGATAAGGCACTAAACACTGCATCTTCCTATCTTCAGTTGTTACACCCATTTGCTAATGGAGCACGGTTCTGAGCCCTCAAACCAACGGGGACAAATTGAGACACTGAGATAAGCATAAGAGGATAAACAAGGATATGGTGCACTCTAGTCATTAGTCTGCAGCTCGTTTAATGCTAAATCAATTACTGCTAACAGCATAACTCTGGCAGCACAGAATTTACAGCAGGCTGCAAACCCAGCAGCAGCAAAGGTGCTGAGCTTTTGCTCTGCTTTGACAGCCCAGCTGCTGGTGACCAGGCTCAGCAGCTCTGAGCCACCTGAGCTCCTCTCAGCCACCCCTCCGGCTCAGGGGACAGGCCTGCAGGTACTGAGGCACACAGACAGAGGTGATAGAATTCCTCCAGAACATACAGAACACCCCAGAGCTTTCACAAGAAAAAGTACTGATGGCAGACTATCGACACCAGCAAGTGATGCATTCACAAGTGTTTTAACAGACCAAAAATGTCATTACAGAACTCATAGCTTATTCATTTTTTTCCCTCCCTTTTCCCATAATTATTCTATTATTCTGCATTTTTGATGTCTATCCCTGCACAAACAGTATTCCTCAAGAAAACAGAGGCAACCATTTAAAACATCAGTTACCTCATTAATGCAATATTAAAAAAATGATACCTGGTTTTAGTAGTGTTTGTAGTATTTTGTTTTATTTCAATGTAAAGGTAACCTGGATTATTTTTTTATTTTAACATTATGATTGAAATATATTTTTTTTTCTTTTATAACATCAAAATAATCCTAAAGTACAATAATACCATTTTCTATGCTGGGTTGCCAGCTGATGCTGATTTTCTGCAGAACTAAAGGGATACTTTTTCCTCAACTCATTTTACTCTCATATACCCAAAATACAGAAAGTTAGTTTTTCTTTCCATATAAACATGTACACCTGGATTTAGATCATTCTCCAGAAAATAATTACTTTATCTTTATTGACAGTGTACTATGCAGAGGTTTTATTGATCAAAATTAACATACCCTATTATGAGCTTGGAAAATGGCATCAGTATATCATAAAGATTTAATTCATCTTGTACAGAATGATTCATTATCAGATCAATTCCAGGTAATAGCTCTTCAGTAATTAGTCCTCAGGAATTAATGAAGTGATGACTAAAGCCATAAAATAAACTAATTGTATATTTTGAAATTTATTCATAATGTGGACCTTCACTTACCTACAGTATTAACGTATAGATCTATATAATAATATAGTTGTTCTGTTCCTTATATACTTTTAAAAATCACACAAAAAAAACCCAAAAAAACCTGAAATTAATCACAATTATTATATTGATAAAGAATTTCAGGCTATCTAAAAAGGAACAGTACTTCCATAGAATGAGATCATCATCAGGTGAATTTTTTTTAGAGCAACAATCTAAGTATGATTTACTGTAATATTTTGGAATTAAGTGAATTTCAGCATTGATTTTATAGCTTCACCCCACTACCATATGGAAGCAATTAAAATACTGATGAAGACAGATTTTATCACTTCAAAGATAGCTGAGGACAAGCTGTCAAAATAACTGTGCCCTTAGTTATTATTACTAAGCCAAAACTTTTAATTAAGTACATTAGACAGAATTTAATTATCTCAGTCATTGTACACTAAATCTCTATAAGGCATTGGCACAGATTCAGGAAGAAATCCAAAACTTCTGTTTGTAATTTTAAGCTGGCAATTTCCACCAAAATAATACAGCATTTTGTATTGCTCTAGGTAGAAGAGCCACACCTTCTCCATTCTGCAAGTGTCCTTCTATCTGCTTTCAGAAATACAGGAATGCTGTGAAGGCAGCTTTACTCACACTGTTCTTCCCACTCCTGGTCATCGTCGCTGTGCTGACTGTGCTGCTGAGCTTGCTTGAGGCTCAGGTACAGCTCCTTTGCCCGGATTTCTTCCTGCTGCCTGATTAGCTCCTCACCTTTCTGTCTTTCCTCTTCTTCTCTTTTCTGAAGAAAATGGAGTAAGCCAGAAGTGACTAAAGAGGAAAAATGTGCCACAAGTTGAGACACTGCTTCAGTTGCTTCCTATCACAGAGAAGCTGCATTACCTTGGACAAATCACTTTCTCTTCTAACTTGGGGCTTCTTACGACTCACAACAGTCATCACCTGAATTTTCCCACCTCTTAGGAATTCCTGAGGAGGGTACATTTTGAGACCACAGTATCAAAGGAGTGAGGATCATGTAAGCATCTAAGATCTGAAAACTACACAGAAAACGTTTTATAACATAGCACCAAAGCCTGTGCTATTCTCCAGCCCATAAGCAAAGCTCAGTTTAAGTCCATGTGTACCCCCACTGAAGATATTGCTGCTTTCAAGCACTACACACATCCACAGAACCTTAGAATTCAGGAACTGCTTTATTGCTGTTCTTGATTTAGCAACTGTCCACTGTGTCATCATAACCAACACAGGGAATAATATTTTCCAAAAAGTTAAGATCACTACATTCTGGAGGAAAAGGCAGATCCTTCAGCACACTATAATCACTTTGTAAAATGTAGCTAAGAGTAACATGCCAAAAAAGTTCCCTTCTAAAAAAGCCTTAAAAGAGATGGAAATCTGGGAAAGATTGCTTCTGCAGTTGGCCTCCCTCATATTATCGATAACATAGGAGCTCAATTATGCAGAATTAGGAATCTGTATCTGTTTTCAAATGAGTTTTCCCAAATCTCTTAGGTAGTGAAGAAACACATTTAAATAATATAGTTTAATTGAAGCCCACAAAAAACTCAAAACTGAACTTCATTAAGTGTTATTCATGTTATTGAAATAACTTGAATTACAGATAAAAACAGTTTTTATTTAATTTTAGAATGGAACCAGCACTATACCCTTATGGGTAACAAACTTACAGGTAAACATTTTTTTTTTAAATCCCTGAGTAAAATCACCCTGAATTACTATCTAGCTACCCGACCTAAATTATAAGTACAGGAAACCCAAGTAGATTGTTGCAAAATGTTAATCCTATGAAATTTCTAGGGTGAAAGTCAAGGGTCCAGCCCTTAGTATTATTCTATGAACAATACATTAGACTGCTCTTACTATTTCTAAGAAATAAAAGTCTAGTATTGTTCTTCAGTCAATTTTAATGCTACTATCTTGGATTATTTCTAGCATCATCTTTCCATTGTTATTTCCTGGCTCCTAAAAACATGAGCTGAGTGGACAGTTCATTATTTTTGAAAAGTCAATGCTCTTAGACAACACTCATTTCAAAGCTAAGCAGCTTCCTCAGAAAAAAGAATTATCTTTTTTAATATCTCTGTAGAATTAGGGATTGCACATTTCAGCTGCAAGTAAATAGTTCTATTCTCTTCTTGAAAAAAATATGAGATCAACTGTTCTTTATTCTTATGAGGAGATATTTATTCGCTTAGCTTCACTACCTAAAAAAATTAAATACATTCAGTCTATCCTTCAGGAAGATGGATAGACACAGAAACAATCCTGGGTTATCAGAATATTTTCTATTCAACATCTTAAACCACAAGGTAAACTTATAATAGAGGGGGGTGGGTGTGAATGAATCTCACTGCAGTTTCCCTGAATCACACAAAAATTTTGTTGTAAGTTTGGGCTTGTTTTTAAATGTAGCTGTTGTTGAAACATTTCTAGTAAAAAGATGAAAGGGTCTAAGAAAAACAAATAAAAAGCACCCCCACACACACCAAAAACTAGAATTCAGGTAGAGCTTGTGTTCTTAATGGAAGGCAACAATGCCAACTAAGAAAATCCTACCTTTTTAATGGAAAAGGAGATGTAAGTCAAAGAAGAGATAACAAAAGCTTAACACAGGTTAACTTGATTCTGAATTCACCAAAAATTTTTCACAAAACCTTCCTTTTTAGAGAAAGAGGAGATTTAACTTATATTTATTAAATTAGTGCATAGATGTGCAGGTATATTGCCCAACTCCCTCAAGTTGTGTGTGACAAGAAACAATTCTTGCTGGTGTGACACAGGAAAAGAACAGTCAACCTTTTGTCAAGTACGACTAAACAGTGTGTGTTTGTATTTAAAATGAACAACAATTGAACTTTTCACATTTACTCCACTGGAAGAATACAGCAAGCAGTTTGTCTGCTTCTCCCCAGGAATCCAACCCTGCACATCAGAGCTGGGAGTGAAGAGCTGTAATACCTACAAACACCATCTTCTGCCTGACAGCTGAGAGAGATTGTACTCTGTGCCTGACCCTTTCAGCTCTGCCAAAATAATTAGCAAGTGACAATCCAGTAGAGAGTTGCAAATTGTTGAGAAATACCAAGCTGCCAAAACAAATCACTCTGGCAATTCAACAGGCAGCAGTAATCCTCTCCAGCCTTTACTCCAATGGAGAATTTGAACATGCTAAATGATCTTATCTATCCTCTGGCAGTTGAGAATTTACCACAGACTTGTTTATGTGTATCTTACCATGTTTGACAGCTTTACTATGAGTAGCTCTAAATAATATTTAATATTAGCCATGGTTAAGTTTTATGTTTCAGTCCAAGGCAGATGAAAGGAGGTCATCATTTAGTTTTTGCTCCAGAAAGATTTTTAAAATATACTGAGGAAAAGGCAAAATAAAGCAGTGGGATTTCTTACAGAGGAAAACTGGGCTTCTGGCTGCCACAGCTCTTGGGGTCTTTCTGGGGAGTCTTACAGTTTGCAGGGCAGCTGAATGACCACTGTCCTCCTGCTCAGGGCAAAACCCACAAGGATTATGTGTTACAACAGCCCTCTCTGAAGCAAATACTGCCTGGGATTCTCTCAGTGCTTCAGGCTGGCAGGAAGTGTCTTTGGCAGCCCTGAAAGCTGCAGCCAGCTGGCTGCACTACGGCTGCAGAGAACCTCCTGAGCCCACTCAGCAACCACCTGGGCCAGGGAAGACATTCAGGCCACCTAAACCACAGCTGAGAGCCCTTAGGGACTCCCTGCTCTGAGGAAGGAAATTTTAAAACCCCAGGGTCCCCAGCTGCAGCACAGGCTGCTCAGCAAGGCTGACACAGCCAGCTGAGTTCAGAGATCAGATGTCTCTCCAGACTCACCTGACAGGTACCAACAGAGCTCTGAGTAAAGGCAGAAATATGTCCAACTCCTTCCCAACCTTTTTCTGGGAAAAATCTCTCACTTGCATCAGAAAAGAAAGTGTTTTCAGAGGCATTATTTTTTTTTCTCTACTACCAGTGTCTCAAAAGGAACACAGCCTTTGCATTGCTTCACTGTGCATGTATTTGCACAGAGACAAATGTATGAAATGCATTATGCAGAAGCTATGAGATTTCTGACATGGGTGTGTCCAGGACATGCTATTCATACATCTCATACAAGGAGGTACCAATTTACTCTATCACAAGGACCCTGTATTCCATAATCTGGAAAGCAAAGGACTGTTTCTGGTTGGGAGAAATCTGACATTTGCTGCACATGCTGGAACAGGCTCTGCTCAAGTAATTTGCCATAGTTCCAGTGACTATCTACTTAAAGTTTCTCTCTGGACCTTAGAGACTCTTCACAGCTTGAATTTGTTACATGTAAGCTACCCTTATTAGTGGCTTAAATTTTCCCATTTACCCATGGAAAACACCTGAGCTTTGCTAGTTTTTAGCAGCAATCCAGACTGAAGACAGTGGCTTCAGAAGTGCAATCATTACTGATGGCACAAAAGAAGATATTTTCCTTTAAAATTAATGTCAGTTACAAGTAGGATAGAGAAAAGCTGAAGACCCAGTTCCCAACCATAACTAACAGCTTTCTGATTTACAACATCGTTCAAGAGACAATGGCATAGGAAAAAAAAGAATTACTGAATTGTGGTCACCCAAAAGGAAACAAAATTAATTATTGCAATTGCCATTGAAATAACCCAACTAAGGCACTTTCAGAATGAATTGGGTGCCAAACCCCAGCAAGAAGCTGTTGTCATATTCTTAGATTCTAAATATGCTGTCTTTGGGAAAGATTTCAGTGTTTTCTTGGCACAGCAAAGCACAGAGCTGAACTTACAGCTTATTTGCACTTGGAGATAACAGTCCCACTCTAGTGCTTGACGTTTACTTGGAGACAAGAGTTTTTTTCAGATCAAGACAGAATGCTTGCTGCTCTATCCTAAGAAGCCCACAGTACTCCAAATGGCAATGGTGACAGTTCACTGTATTCCTAAACTCTACATCTGGCAGCAATTTTCTGAAGAATCAGGTCCACAGCACTTGGGGGCACAGTAAAGCATTCAGGCATGTGTTGAAAGCTCATCCAAGCTCAATAGAAAGTGTATTCTTTCTACTGAGCATAAGGTTAATTAGATACTTCCTGAACAGAAGCACTAATTGTTCTGTTCTCTGAACCTATCTTCTTTGATGAGACATTTCATCTCCCAGGGAATTTTTAAGAAGAAATCTAGCTCTGCTGTCAACTGTGCTTGTATTATTAAATTTGGCAGGTATCTGATGTTGTCATAAGGACAGTACATTACTATTAATATTCTCTTGATTTATGTAGACCACATGAAGACTGAACTGAGAGATCTCTTCTATTTCTAAATGTAGCTGAAGGATACCCATCCCTGGCTGGATGACACTCACATCTTCCATTTGCCTTAGCTCTGCACATTGTTCAGACTCTTAATGGCAGCTACTGATAACCATAGAAAATTATACCTATGAGCTCATAGCCTTTGTGAATTAGCAAAAAGATTAATCATAGTAATTGTCTCTCTTATTTGTCCTTTGCAATAGGTGCATAAAAGAATAGCTATCCTTAAACTGCAAAAACAGAGTAGTCAACATTTATATTCTAGCATCATAAATTAAAGGCAATTCTGCTTAGAAACACCAAGGAAAGCAATACTTTTGGAATAGTATTGGAAAAAGAAATAGGGATCATCATTCACTTTGATATGTAAGATATCATTTATCCAGTGCAGACAGCCCTAACCTCCCGTGATAGGTCAAGAGGAATAAAAGCATCTTAAAAAGGAGCTTTGTGACACAATATGGTTAGAAATTAAACATGCCAGCAGAAAGGAGACAGTTTCAATTTCCTAAGTCAAACTGCTTCAAGAGGATGAAGCATTAGCAAAGACTGGACTTTCCATACCTCAGTCTGGAGACCTCTTTAAACGTGGTCTGGTCATCATCACAGAAGGATGATTACCAGTGCACTAAATATTTTAAATCTGTTGAAGCAAGCTTGCCTGCATATCTACATCAAATTCCATACCCTTTTCTTCATTCTATAAATTACTTCTATCATACACCAGTAGATTCATTAATTCATCTTTTTTCCTGTTCTTTAGTTGTATTCCTTCCTTTTAGTTGGATGTGGATGTCAGAAACACAAATTTCTTTCTGTTTCGAGATACCACACACAATGTACAAGATCTGATCTTTCAAGAGCATGTAACAGATAAAGTGCTTCTCTGAGTAGCAAAGGAGTGGTGTCAAAGTACCAAGAGTCAATCCTGCATTTGGATCTCTGCTGGAACTCTATGTCAGACCAAGTCTCTCCTGGCAGATGTCAGATTATAGACCTAATTGAAGAGCCTATGCTGCAAGTGGAATTAGACTCTGTTGTTAGATTAATACAGGAAATTATGGGGAACACTTGATAAAGGGCATTTAAAGAAACAATCACTGCATCATATCTAGTTTCCAAACTCATTCTTTAAGTCAGGAGTTCCTTTCTACCGGGTCTTGTTTTGAAAACTTTTGTTCATTTATTTAAATTTTTGCAAATTCTGTTTTCAAATGCTTGTGGGAAAGAAAGGGTTTCTACTTCCTTGACAGAACAAATATACTGGTAACTTTGGGAAGAGACATGAAATCCTAGCCAAGGTATTTGAAATTCAAAGTAGAAACTGAACCATAATCCCATTTCTAGCAGTGTTCCTAACAGTCACCCAGCTGGATGGAGGACACCTGCTCATGTCCTGGGAAGCAGTGGAAACATAGATGACTGTGACATTACCTTTCCATCAATATGAACATGAGCAGAATTTGGGGCCATTCCTTTTAATTGTATCAACAACTGAACAACTAGCTTTCCTTAATAGAAAGCTATGGATACTGGCCACTGAAAGTCTCATAAATTGCTTACTCTGCTCTTTGAAAGAGTCTCTTTGGAACAGAACAGTAACAGTGAGCTTGTGGACATTTTCCCCATCAAGTGTCCTGTGAGTCAGCCACATAGACAGAAGAGAACACTGTCAGCCTTTGTTCACGAGGCCTTTACTTTCCAGAGAGCAGAGGAAAGAGTATTTAATTAGTTGCTCTGCTCATTATTCATACCTTAATAAAGCAGAAAGGTATAGTTTCATTTCTCATTGACATCAAATTTCAAAGGCCCCGTTCTCTCCTGTGAATTCAAATTAATTGTATAAAGGTAAATCAGCAACTCTATGCAGGAACTGCCCTGGCTTTGGCTCCACAACCACCTCAAATCCCAGGCCCACAGTCTGCAGAGTAATAAGAAATTTTCTATTTGCAATCAAACCACATAAATTTAACGCTAAGTTTTCAGCATTCCTCCCATCACAAAGGGACAATAGGAATAGTGTATCCCTGCTTTCCATACCTTAAATCACTGCACCAGGAAGGGAAGAGACACAGTGAGCTTTCAGCAGGGGAGAGGGGTGTGGATGGAAGTTACTGGATCCCCAGAATCAGATTTTCTACAGGCTTTCTCCATGGAAACTCAGCCTCACCAATCATGTGCAGTCCCAGCATGCACATCCCAGCCTCAGAGGACTGTCATGACTTCTCTGCACACTGAACCTATATATTTCGCTTTCTCATTTTTAAATCACTTTTTATCTTTATCAAGTAATATGAAAAGGGTGAACAGAGGCGTTTCCTATTTCATTTTGAAATTGTTATTTTAAACTAGAAAATGTAAAAAAAATATTATTTCCAACAAACATTAAAATATTGTAACTGAGCTCATAAAAAGTTCATTGTGAAGTCAATAAAAAATCAAGCAAATTAACTTCTCCCAGCAAAGCCAACTGGACTTTTCCCATATGTTGAGTAGGGGAAGGATCCACCCCTTATTATTTTGAAGGAAGTAGTGACACAGTTTTAAAGTTCATTATGTGAACAAACTCATCCAAAATACACAGAATACATTCAAACAAACTAACTTAAAATGAGATCTTTCCCAATTGTACATTTTTTTCCCCAGGATGATTCATCCAGCACAGCTGACTGAACAATTCTGTTAATGTGTGAGCTGAATATCCGGTTTGATTGTTCTGGCACTTCTGAATGAGACCTGTAATTTTTTCTCATCACTCACCCAGCTGTTCTGCTGAACACCATGTAGCTATCTGTATATTCCAGAATGAAAAATTACAACTCTGAATTTTAAAGCTTATTAATAAGCATGCACTGAAGGTGACAAGAACTGTGAATCTCTATGAAAACACTATTAAAAAACCCCTACATTTCTCTATGCAAACCTTCAGTTCCTCCTGAATTTTTTCTTCCTCCAGTTTGGCTGCTTTCCGATCCTCCATTTCTATTTTCCATTTTTCTGCCACTATTCTGGCTTTTTCTTGAGCCATAGCATCACGGAATTTCTTTGTTATTTCAGCTTCCTTTTGTCTCCTTCAGAAAAGGATGTGAAAATAAAAATTTTATGCACTAATTTTCTTAAATTGAGAATCAGTACTTACTGGTTGCAACAAATAATTAGTGTAAAGACTTCATGGAAAGATGCAAGCAAAGAATTAAAATCTATTTAATAAGAGACCTACCACAAACCATCATATTTGAAGAAACCATCTGAAGAGCAGAAAATTTACAATTTTTGATAAATTACTAATTAAAATAGCACTTCTAAGTTAGACAAGTACTTCTTGGATATCTTTAAGTCATACCTTATATTTTTCTATTAGTCTAGCAAAACATAGTTGGAATTTATTGTCTTTCAAATACTAGTACAAATGTCTCCCAAATTTTTCTGCTAGATTGTTTATTAGTACTGACAATGTAAAAGAAATTCAGAGCACAGGTTGAAGTTTTCAGTCCCTGCTTAAATATGCAAGCACCCAAAGCAAGAATAATCTCATATGAAAAAGGATGACATAGAACAACCTGATATTAAAGAATCACTTTTCAGCGCTGCACTACATAGGGAAGTGTGTGAGGCAGGTGGCCTAATTCCTAACAATATCAAGCATCAATACACTTTTGAATCTCCCCCAAACGTGGAAAAAGCCCTGCTAGAAACATCCGCATGGGACTTTGTATAATGAGTTTTTGAACTGCTGGAATAAAAATTAATGCAAGCAAATTGCAAATAAAACCAATTTCAAAAAGGATTTTATGTACTAAACCCCATTGTGGGCTCAGAATTGCGATATAACAAACATATCTAATTTAATCATCTCAAAACCAGACTGCTTCATTTTTCTTTATTTGCAGGCTGGTCAACGGTTTTGCTAAATTCCCAAGAGAGAAAAAACTTGGCATCACTTTTTTTCAAATAGGGTTTTTGGCTTTCAGTATTCAATAAAAACAAAATGACATTTTTATCACACTAAAAACCTGACAAAACAAATGAAAGGGAATGTTCACAAAACATACTTACCAGTTTTACCCACCATTACCTCCCACCTTTCTACAAGGTCATAGCTCCCATTGTGCCAAATGGACCCTGAACTCAGATTCTTAAATCCTCACCATAGCTCTTCTGCCTCCTTCTGTGCCTGCTGCCTGGCCCGCTCTGCTATGAGCTCCTCGGAGATCTGCTCGTAGGGTTTGTCCCCCGGGGCTTCTCCCATCACCCAGACCCAGACCTCGCCGTCCTTGCCCCGCAGCCACTGCACGCGTTTGCCATTACCTGCAACAGCCACCGAGAGCACACCAAAGTGTAAACACTGCCTCAAATCCTGCAAAAACAGACATGAAAGGATGGGAAATCTGCAATTTAGGAAACATTAAGCTTGCAGTTTATGATTTGGAAGAAAACATTGCTCAGAGGTCCAAAGAAATCTTCAGATTTGACCAAATCAGGTCAAACACTGGAGGGAAAAAAATTAAAATGTTTTCATGCTGCAGATTACCCAATCTTTAAAGACTCACTGTCCCACAAAAATAAAAATAATTAATTCAAGCATGCATTTCCCACAATTCCATTATTATAATCCCTTTTTAATTGCTATATTTGCTCACTTCACTCAACGAGGGATGAATGAAGAGCGTGGAAAAAGAGATGGGGCAAAATCAATGACCAGTGATATTATGTGACTAAAAATGCTTTGTGCACAAAGAATGTCCAGTGTTGAACAGGTAGAGAAACTTATTTGGAACACCTTCAAAGAATCCAGAAATTTCCTGCCTCCGCTGTGTGAAGCAGGAGTTTCAGGGACTCTGCATACCCAGAACACACCACTCCCTGCTGCAGAGCCTATTCTGCTCACATAGGCAATTGAAAGGGATTAAATTTCTGGTTCAGTTTTCATGACACAAACTACACAAAAATCTATGGTTACTGTGTTGACAGAGTGATTTTAAGAACACCACAAAAGGCCTGAGAGCTCTTTACAGAACCTACTGTATTTTGTGAGCCATCAAGTACAAGAACCAACTGTAAGATTACAAAGACCACAAGATTAGATCCTACCTGAACACATTTTAATAGATATTTACATTACCTGATTTAGTGTGGTCTGGTCTTTTCCTTCTGCTTTTATAAATACAAGTGTCAAATATTATACACATTTTAGAGGTTCATAATAAGGAATTTGCAGAAACACCTCTTATGCATCAATTTTTATGCTTTATTTCTTGCAAGATTCTTGAAACTGTCCTCCACAAAAGGAGATTCTGCCACAAAGAACATTGCCAAATTAACAGTGGATTTATTTAGAAGAATTCAGACTACAAGGCCATAAATGGTCAGCAGTTTGCATCATTCCCTGTATATTATAGTCCCCTAGATTTCATCCTCTCACCCAAGCATTGATATGAGAAAATCGTGCACCACAACATATCTTCTAAAAGGAATCTTGTCTCATTTGAAAATAAAGAAATGGACAGAGCACCATTTTCCTAAGTAGTTTTTCTCCAGTGCTCCCATAAGGGTTAAAAGAAACCTGTCCTATTTGAACAGGCAGGATTTACTTCCACTTTTCCTCCATCTCTCTCTACCAGCATCAGCTTAGCTACTCTCACCTAAAGCTACCACTTGTTCTGTGTGAGGACATATCCATTTAACCAGATTAAGTTTCCCAATGCACAATCAATAAAGTGTTTCTGAATCCCGGGCTGAAGGCAGAAAACTGCAGGAGGCAGTGGAGTGGGGCTGTTGACAGCAGCAGTGTCAGCACCAGCCCACACTCCCAAGTGTTGACAATCCAGACTGAAGGCAATGAACGGATCAGATCTCATCATGAAAGCTGATATTCTATATCAAATTTGAAAATGTAATTTATACGAATCCCCGGCGTTGGCCTAACGGTACTAACTTCAAAGAGGGGTGGAAATTTAAGCTAATAGTGTTTTCCTTCAATAACTCTCAAAAGCATTTGCTCTTTCACAGTCTATCAGATTATGTCTCAGGTTATAAATGTGAATGTATTTCATTGTGGTTCTTATTCTGTACTTGTGTTCCTGTCAACACAACATTTGTTTTGAACTTTTATTTTTTGGATACAGCATTAGAATACCATCTGCTGAGTCTTGACCGGCCATATCACTACTTGCCTGCAAGGTTTTCTCCTACTGCATTTCCTGATAAAGTATCTTGAGAAGTATGGAATGAGTATTCCCAAGAGTACTAATTCCAAAAAACCAAAGGCAGTTTTTGTTTTAAAAGCACAGCATGTCTTCTTTCTTGTGAGGAATCTGAATATCCTATTGCTCTCCTTTATTTAGTACTTTAAAGAAAAGATTGCAAACAACACACCTTGTATTAATTGATCTGTAACATAACTGGTAGATACAAAATACTACTCCTGTTCTGAGACAATTTCACTATTTATGTTCATTTATGAACTTATCAGAGCTTTCCAGGAAGGAAAAAAATACATAATTTTTCAGGTAAACAGACAAATTTTATCTTTGCTTCTCTCAAGGTTTTCTGTGCCAAAGGTTTATTAATGTGTTTCTCAGAGGCACAACTTATCCATTGCAACCCAGGCCAATAAAACAAATAGCTGATTTGTAGACATGTCTTGAGAAATTGTTCCTTCTTCTTTTAAAACAATGGATCTTTTTTATCAAGTTTTAGCCAGCAGATGCATAAACTCCTTTGAAACCATCAGTATTGTTGGTTCAGCACTATACACAGTACAGAACTCTACTGTATATGCATCAAGTGCATGTTCAAATATAGTCAAAGCTAAAAGATTTGTGTATTAAACAATCTGGCAGTTTTAACCTTCAGCATTAAACAGATAGACACCCATATTTTTATAATTTTAAAATAATTCAGCTTGAGCACAGATGCCTTAATTCACATTTTTCTCTAGAAGAAAATAAGGTTTTTTCACATCAAACCACTGAATTTACTTCAAGAAATGACTCCCATGCAAACCTTCCCTTAAACCTCTGTTCCCATAAAGTTGCAGCTGGGCTTTACTGTGCAATCTGATCATAAAACTCAGTAGTTTCTTAGCACAAAATAACATGAAAAATGAGCATGCAGGGAAAAAAAAGAGCACCTCGGGGAGAAAATCTGGCACAGTGAAAGCAGAATTTCTGCCATACAAAAAGTCTCTGCAGCTTTCAAAACCATATTCACAGTGAGAGGGTCAGCTCTTCTAGGCTAATGATATTTTAAACTGCAGAGCCTATGGCAAGATCAAGAAAGTCCAGAAAATTATTTTCCCTAATACTTGTAGGAAACTAGTGTTGTCTGCTTTGCAAGCAGAGAATTACCACTATTTATGGCTGATTATAACAAAATAATTCCTGCTTTAAAATGCCTCTCAAGTATTAAATTTTTTCTGCAAAATAAGATGTTTTGCTAATACACTTTCTTTCCAAATCAAAGAGAAATACACAAAAAAGAAAAATTCAACTAAATATAAAAGGAAGAGACAGGTCCTGACTAAACAAATTTGAAATGTAGATGAGAAGGAGGCAAGAGAGCCTAATGTTTCCTGCTCAGCAGCAGGCTTCTGAGCCCAATCATAGAGCCTAAGGCAGGGTCAAGAAACAAAAATTAAATCTCTTGAGCCCCAGTCTTGTGCCTTGACCACAAAAGTACTTTTTTTTCATTTTGGAGAGACTGTGGCATGCTGAAAATAGTAACCATTAGGAAGCAGTGGACATCAAAGTTAGTCTGTTTTGGAAAGTAGAAATGGAAGTATTTTAGAAACAAGCACTGCTTTATCAGGAAAACTTACTGAATAATTTGCTAGGTCTTCGCCGTCCCTACTCTGCCATCATTTTTCACCTAAAACAACTTTGTAGCACCAGAAGAAGACAACAAACTTTTGAAGTTCTTTTCACCTGAACCTCATCCATGAATCAGTATCTCACATAGAGCTCCTCTAAATCTACAGCCACACTGCTTTGAGACCCATTAACTGGCTTCTGGTTCCTTACTCCAGACAAATGCCAGGTCAGAAAATGCAAAATCAGGTCCCTCAAATTTGCAGCACAAAGGGATCACAACAAAAACTTTCTTGGAGACCTAAAGCCAGAAAAAATTGCAACTCAAGTTTGTACATATAAACACACAGAATCAAAAATAAAACCAAATCATATTTTCTATTTGTCTGTGATTTACACAGCTGATTCTATACCAGCAACGAAAGTGCAAAACAATGCCTGGAGAGCAATCAGAAACTTGAGCTCTCACCTACAAGAATTCTGAGGCTCTGCCAGCAGCACTTCTGATCCCACCCTCAGAGTGCTGGAGTGCTACCACGAGCTGAGCCATGTGGCACCAGGGGCTGCTCTGGCCTCTGAGCTGCCCTAGGGCCAGCAGGGCACTGTCACCTCATCACTGCCATGGCCAAATGCTGCCAAGAAACACCAACACTGCCTGGATACCTGGGGACAGAGAGAAGCACCAGCGTGGGGAATCCAGCTCAGGCCACCCTGGGTTCCAATCCTATCAGCTCAGACCTCCACGTTGTGTCTGAGGCTTGGGACAAACAGAGACACACCGAGGAGACCAGAGCCCCACACTGCCTCTGCCAGCTGGAACAGAGGAGATGAACCACTTATAGGTTCTTGGCCTATTTTTTTACATCTCCAAATAAAAGTGCTTTGGAAATAATGGTAATTAGAGCAAATAGAATACTGCTGGAGTCAGCTTTCTTTCTCCAAGCTTGGTCACCATTGCTTTAACAGTTAGAGACTCCCCAGCAGCCCCATTTGTGATCCATCCCCAGTGTCTACACAGGAGCTATTCCAAGGAGCTAGAGGCCTGATTTGGTGGCAGGATTCCCAGCTGTGCCATCACCCAGTCTGCCTGCTTAGTCCAGCAAAAGCACAGAGAGCACCAAGCATCCTCCTGCCTTTCTGTGGGAGGGAATACGACAAGGTGTAAATTTAGAAATTGTGAGCACAGATTCAGATTATGTGATCACTGATTTATAATCTCAGAACCACAGGACCGCATTCAAATTCTGCTAAATGTTGTACTAAACAATCTGCTACTTCCATGAACAGCCTTGCTTCTCTGGGCTTCCCACCATAATTCTCCTGCTTGGAAGCTACAAATCTCTGCAGCAGCAATTGACTGTCCTTCCTCACCCGCTGGGAAACTGCAGTCACACAAGTATCTTTTGACTCTCTACAGAAAACATCTCTATTATTTTCTCTCTCTCGGCTAGAAAAAAAACTGAAATTTATTATGCATTTGAAATAGGCTGCATGTGCATT